GTGTCCCAATTCTAAATTCGTTCTTACTTGACACAGATTGGGTGTTTTGGTGTAGTGTCAACAAAAAAAGTTGAGTCTGAGCTTTTCATTTCATGTTTCCACCAGATTTATACATTTAATTAATGCAGGACGATACCTGCATTGAAGCAAAATTACAATACAAAATTACAATAATTTTTTGGAAAAGGTAACATTGCAGACCACCTTATCTTAGGAGAATACTACTTTCAGTGTAAGCAGGTATTGTAATAAATCCCTGTCAAGACTGGACAACATTTATTATTACCTGTTTACTGTGCTGTACACCAGTATTGCTCATTGTTGCTTAATCAATAGTATATTAATCTATTATTTTAATCCTCAAAATTAAAATGATTACTACTGATGTTATGTTACCAAAATCAAAGTAATGTCCTGAAAGTGTTACATACTAGCAGTGATTAAGATGCTCTTGATCTCCTGTTTTTCTGCAGTATCTGCACCAACCAGGACTTTAGGCAGGAGGAAGTTGGTGCGCAACCGTTTCACCATAGACACTGACATTGTTTTTGATGGCGAGGCCGAACAGGACCTCACTTCACCACAGGAGCCCGATGCAAATCGGCTGCAGCCACAGGACAATAAACCAGATCGGCTACAGCAAACGGAGTTAGCGGGTGACACAGACCGCTGGGTGGAAGAGCAGTTCGACCTAGAAGAATATGAGGACCAGGATGAAGTGAAGGAGACAGACATCCTTAGTGATGAAGATGACGAGTTCTGCCAAACAACCAGAGTGTCATCCACTGAGGCCGATCTGGAGGCCCCAGTCATGGCTTTGTCCTTGGAGAGTAAGGAATCCGAGGAGAACAAGAGCCTTAAGTCCCCAAAGGCCAGTGGGACACCTGATGATGTGAATCTGTCTGACACAGAGAAGCAGAGCGCTGTGATCGATGACAATGCGGAGGACCAAAAGCCAACGGAGAAAGATGAGATTTGGGTAAGAAGGCAGCAATCAGGTTCATCCCCAGACTATGAGACATAAAAGCTGAAGAGGTTAGGGAGACAGCCTTACATGGGCTCCATAATGATCAGTCATCGTCTTCACAAACAATGCATGGGCATTGATGTATATCGCACAGCTAGTAAAAGATATATCCTTCCTTACCTTACTTTTGCTAAATGCTTATTGTACAGGTAAGGTCATCAGTGGAGCAATACAGGAATCCATAATGTGGGAGCTTTATCCCAAATCAAATGCTGTTACATAGAAGTTAAGTGTAGGCTTTGAGAGATGAACTAATGGTACAATCATGGAATCTAACCAGTGGCTTTGATTGGCATGGTTTGCACATTTGGGCAGCATTCTATAGTCCTGCCTGCTGTTGCCAAATTTGGGTATTGTGAGAACATTGATATTTGTTTGTCTGTGTGACTCAGAGATATTATCATAGTTAAGGGCTGTATATTATTTGTCCTTAAATAAATAGAATAATTGCAAAGGACAGGCTTGTCTTGCATAGTTTACTGTACTTGTACATTTTCACATGAATATACACTGACATGTTTTGGGAACAGTTTTCCTTGTTATGTATAATATATGATTTTGATCTCTTGTTTTACAGACTTAAAGCTATCTTTTTAGCCTGGAAAATATTTTGTTTTTTTCTCGTTACATCTAATAGTGGAATTATGTAACAGCCCCTACGTCACAGAGGCTAGGGGTTTTTTAAATTAGTTTTAACTTAACATAATCCTGTTTTACTTGAATTTGCTGTTTCATATTTTTGTTGTACTGTGAAACCATTATCTTGTATTTTTCCTTTTTGCTCTTCAGTATTGCCATTTAAAGAACGCTCAATGTTACATTTCATTCCTAATACTTAGCATGCACACTAATTGTTTAGAATTTGCACAATGGCTATTTTAAAAGGTCTTGTTTGTTCAAAAAGATTGTTTACTGGTAATGGATCACAAAGCAATGTTTTTTATTTATTCATGTGTAAATTTATTTGTTAGCAAAAACATTAGTAATCTTTTTTTTTTTTTCACAAAGAAAGTCCAAATTTGCTCAAGCAATCAAGGGGAAAGACTTGCAGTATGCCTGAACAGTGAAAGAAGTCATACTTGTAAACAACTCATTGTGCTACTAAGACTGCATTTTTATTACTGTGTGTATATAGAAAAATGTATTGATATCATAATAAATACAGTTGTTTCCTACTTATAATTCAAAGTACCCCTCTGTTGTGATTTATTGTTTGTGTAGTTTTACTCAGCAGCCTAACTCATTCCCTGCAGCTCTGCAGACATCATTCCTGCAAAACAATTTTGTGATGTGAGGAAAAATGCATAAATGCTCAATGTGTTCAGACATGCCTGAGAAAGAAGGAACTAAGCAGCTAATCAATGTTTTCCTGCCTGAAAGCAACCCAGAAAGTTCAATTCCAGAACAAAAGGGAAGAAATGAAAACTGAACCTTTTAGAGGACGTAAAGAGCTACTTTGAGTGTTTGCAAGTCACGGCTGATTAGGTGCCTGAATGATGGTGAAGGAGCTAAAACCCCTATTATGACAGAATGGTTAAAGGAATGTGTAGACAGTGCGTAGTTTTCAGTTCAGACCAGTCCTCTAAGAAATGTTAATGAACTGAAAAGAATATTAAAGTGAATGCATTGAGCAGAATTACAAAATAAGAAACAGGGTGGGACATGGTGTCAAAATTCATGATGTCCAATAATCACATAAAAACTGGACAATTGAGCAATTGATTGGTAATGTGAGATACTATGTTCCCACAGGTGATACCAACAGGGCTCAGCACCAATTTTAAACAACAAAAAAGACTCGTGCACTTACAGTGTTAATGACAGGTACGTATATAAGGACCAAGAAAATAATAATAAAACATCTCATCACATGCACTCTCCTAGTTAAGATTGTTTAAGGGACAAGTACAAGTTATGAGACAGTACATATGTTTTTGTTTTTTCAGATCTTTCAGTCTTAAGTTAAAGATTTACTATGAAGGAATTTCTTAAAAAACAATGTATAGACTCATACAGAATTAATCCCTCTCAGTGATCAGTTAGGACCCACTAGAGGTGTGGTGTGTATACTTCTGCAGAGACTCTGCCCTCTGCCTGTACAATGTGTTTGGCACGTGTACCCCAACAGCACTCCGGTGACTATTAGCAATAGTAATCCAAAACACACTGTGCTGAAAAAAAGCAAATACAAACATACATGTACAATAAGGCGAAATGCCAAACAAGAGTGAATCTAGGATTGGCTTCTACCTTGACTTCCGCTGGCGACTGTGTTTTCAAACAGTAACTGACAATACTGCAAAGTATAACTTTACACATTGGGTAGACACAGCTGCACATGCCCGAAACATTACGAGCTATGGTTCCCACAGACCTGTCTCCTCTTTTTTTGTCTCTGAGCTCTGTGGACATCCTGTCACCCAGGCTCATTCCCCTTCAACAGCTCCCTCACTCTTGTCAGTCACTATCCCCACCACAAAAGCTCCAGTGCTCCTTCATTTAAAGGGGAAAGATCACTTCAGACTTCATTGTGGTGTAGATCTGCAGTAACAGTATTTGCAGCAGTGCTGAATGACTGATTGCTGAGATGGGAAAGGGTTACTTTGCTAATGCCCTTGCTTTCTTGCCCAAGATAAAATAGCAAAAGGTTTATTTATGGCATTCTCTTCATCGGTTTGTCTGAACAAATAATTTCTGCATCTTAAATCTAAAAAATGAACACTGCATTAAAGTTGCATGATAGTTGATAGTTCCATGAAACGGATTTATTTTAAAATAATTGCAAAATGATATCTCAGTCTTTTTGTGACCCAGGAATGTGCAGTCACATTTACATACAGCAGGTGGCACACATAGTCTGGTGTAGATGTAAATTACTTCCTGTACCTCTACACAAGCACCAGCTTACACTTTACTGTGTATTCACTTACTTCCATTTGGTTCAGATTTTATATCAAAACCATCTCACATCAAAATCCAAAACTCTTAATACCAGCAGCTCAGAGGTAACATATCTACAGAAAATACGTTACAGCACATTTGATGTATTTTGGTTCACAGCTATTGGTTTCTCAGCATGAGCTTATCTGTTTACATTCAAAGCAGCTAAGGATGTGATGATAGTATCAGTCAGCAAGCCTGCTCAACAGGCTTTCCAGTTTCTGTTCCGGTTTTGTGACCTCTCTTGCTACGTTGCTCCTACTTCTCATAAACAGGGTGACCAAAAGGGTGTTACATTTCCTAGACCAACTGAAGTTGTTTTTAAAGGAGTGGCTCCTGCCAAGTACTGTGAAATCCCATATTGTTCCTCATTTTCTGCAATCAGACCATCTACCTGGTCACCTTTAAAGATTTTTTTGTCATATATTAAGTATGTTAGAATGGTCATTTTCATGGCAGCATAATAAGTGCCTATACACTATTGTTTCAGTTACAAAAGACAAGTCAGTTGATAGGAAAACCCTAAGCGGATAGACTGAGTGTTGATAGATTTTTATTCATCTCTTTCTAATGAGTATGGTCATGGTGGGATTTTTTTGCGCGAGTATGGAAAATAACTACAGCAAAGGCAGGTAAAAACGTCAAAGACATATAGTTTCAAGCTTTTGTATTCTATCCAACTAAGTCTGAAGAGGTTTTACAAGCCCAGGATGTATGACCTACAGTACATCATGAAACCTTTAAAGACACCAAAACTAAACTCACAAGGTTTCCGCATGGCAACATAGTCACTCTTTTCATCTGCACTAGTCATGCATAACGAGCAATGATAACAAATGCATGACACTTGTTCAATTTCCGAGAAAGATAAACAAATGCAGAGTGGTGTGCACCTAAAACACTGGTAGGATTAGAGGTCAAGTCAATAAAAACCAGTAGGATGGCATTACAGGCATGGTGATATTATCACAGGTGTACAGCTCTGCAAAACAGATTGGTTGAGCAGTCTTTTCATTACACCAGAGACAAGAGACGAGACTGCTTTGCCCTCCAAGCCATGAGAGCAAAGTTGGAAGTCTTAGCCCTGGTCCTGGGCTTCGTCGGCCTGTTTGGGACCATAGCTGTCACTGCCCTGCCCATGTGGAGGGTCTCAGCCTTCATTGGAGCTAATCTTATTGTTATGGAGGAACTCTGGGAGGGCTTGTGGATGAACTGCTACAGACAGGCGGATATCAAGATGCAGTGCAAGGTGTATGACTCACTGCTAATTCTCCCACCAGAGCTGCAGGCGGCCAGGGGGCTCATGTGTGTGTCCATAGTCCTGGTTTTCATCTCCCTCTTGGTCACAGGATGTGGGACCAAGAAGAGCAACTGTTGTGGCGACAATAACAAGAGCAAGAACATCATCCTGGCCTTAGGGGGTGGTCTGTACCTGCTGTCATTTTTGACCACACTCATCCCTGTTAGCTGGGTGGGTCATACTGTCATCCGCAATTTCTACAACCCAACAGTAGTGGATTCTCAGAAACGGGAGCTGGGGGAGGCCCTTTTCATTGGGTGGGCCACTTCTGGTGTACTGTTGATCACCGGGATTATCCTTCTGATCAGCTACAGCAAACGCAGATCAAAGGAGGAAGAACCCTACACTGACATGTATCTTATGCCAGTGAAGGATGTACAGAAAGAGGACAGTGTGTACCTGGGAAGGACGCCATCCAGCTCTCATAAGCATCAAGAATATGTGTAAAAAACTGAACTGTACCGCCTGATATATGCAATGTTTATGTCTTTAAAATTTAACATGAAAGATGCTGCCTGGGGGAGGTGTTGATGAAGATGATGCCAAGGGTGTGCAAATTATGTGTAGATGTATTTGTTTTCACTACCTATGTACACATTTTAATCACTGTGCCTGTTTAAATGACTAATGCACTTTGTGTTCTTATTGCACTATAAATTGTTCTCCGGTTCAATGTTTGTATTGTCTGTCTCTCCATTCATGTAATCATTGTGTTAAACAGTACAAATCTTTTCACAGTTCTACATTGTCATGTCACTTTTATTATGTTTTTATATGACCGAGTTTCTCAACTATCACATTAACAGCTTAATTGTTAATCCCTTTGATTTGGTATTAACTTGCAGCCAAGATCAACCTATTGTCAACAGATATTGAATAAAAGGTTTAAGTCTACATTTGCTTGTGTGATTGTATTTTTCTAAAGCATCATTTAAATATTTTAACCATGCTTCCCACAAAAACATGAACTACAGACTTTAAACCAACAACAGCTAACACTTCAGTTACCCCTCAGTTCTGCTGTTTAGTTATTTTTCTTTCACTAAAGCTAAATAAGGCTGAATGTTGACAACTGCACAGAGTATCTGCTAACATACTATTTATATGTTAAGGAGGGCAGGGAGACGTCAGAGTGTCAGTGACAAGGTGAGAACTGCTGGCAAACACAATACTGTGCTACAATGAAACAAATCCTACTCAAGTTTCTGTGCTCAACACCTTTTTATCAGCTCAGCTTACATTTAAAGGAGAAGACAGTTTCACATCTGTGATCATACATCAGCTTTCAGTTTGAAAAAGACAACAGATTCTTAACCAACACAGAGTGCAGCCACCGTCTACATAAATTGACACACAAACAGGAAAGAAAGACACTATGTTGTTTTCTTGTTTCACGTGATACTGCATATCCAAAACTAATTGTTTTAAATTCACACAGATTGTTTTCAGAGATAAAAATAGGCCACACATATATAATATCAATTTAGCTATTTTGTTTGCTGTTTAAACTACATGTTTTATTTTATTTTTTAAAAAATCTGCGTAGTATTTAAACTGTATTGAAGTATCTCATGATTAAACATTAAAAGAGAGGAAATGCTTTGATCAACTGTGACTTTATAAAGGGATTTCATTTGTTTTTGATTAAGTGTTTTAATCACAAGACCAAATGGCTGATTGTTAGTAGTGGCAGTTGTATTCACATTCAAAACAAGCAGCACTCTTTGGTGTGTCCCCATTGATCTGGCTGTAAAGCAGCTCAACCAGTAAGGTTGCATTGCATCCCACTGCATTTTTTTGTGGGTGTATAAGTTCCTTGATTTGCTCTTCTCCTCAGATTTGTTTCCGGCGCTGGCAAAGCACAGCCCAAGGTCTATCTTTGACTTTCAGTGTGATAGCTGCAATGGCCACTTACACTGCTTACAGTGGCTACAGCAAGCCACCTCAATCTTACGTGGGCTCTTACTACGATGAGAAGCAGGCCAAGACATATGCAGATTATGAAGACTCTGTATATGAGGAAAAAAAGAGACTTGAGAAGAAGGACCGTCGGGATGCCATCTGTTGTGAGGTAGTGGCCCTCGTCATTGGTTTCATTGGACTAATCGGAGTGGCAGCTGTGACAGGCCTGCCGATGTGGAAGGTAACAGCCTTCATCGAGGAGAACATCATTGTCATGGAGACCCGCTGGGAGGGATTGTGGATGAACTGCTACAGACAAGCCAACATCAGAATGCAGTGTAAGGTGTACGATTCCCTGCTGTTTCTGCCCCCAGACCTCCAGGCTGCTAGGGGTCTGATGTGCAGCGCCGTGGCCTTGACCTCCTTCGCCCTCATTGTTTCAGCAGTGGGAATGAAGTGTACCAAAGTGGTGGACCATCGGGCTCGCACCAAGCATGTTGTCCTTGTGGCTGGAGGCTGTCTGTTCCTCATGGGCTGTGTCACTACCCTAATCCCTGTGTCCTGGACCGGCCATGTCATCATCAGGGATTTCTACAACCCTCTGCTAATCGATGCCCAGCGCAGGGAGCTTGGGGAGGCTCTTTACATTGGCTGGGTGACTTCAGCTTTGCTTTTCACTGCCGGAGTGATCCTGCTGTGCCGTCACGCTCCTCGCACCCAGGACCCAGATGAGAGGATTGTATACAACCCCAACGGAAATATCTACCAACCTGCATACACATACCAGCCATACACATACCAGCCAGCATACTCCTACCAGCCTCCCTACTCAGCACCCCCACCAGGATCGGTAGCATACACACCAAGTCAATACTAATGAGGATATAAAAGACAATTTTGGACTCTTTTTTTCTTTTTGTGCCAAGATTTGGCACATCTGAATGAGTTTGAATTGACTAACATTGGCTGTCACTGGAAATGGCCAAATCTTTCATTACTTTCTCAAAGAGGGCCAAGTGTATTGCAGAGATTGAAATTAATCATGGAACTGATTGTGCTTTGATCATGACATTCTTGCTGAATTACTGTATTCTTTGTTTGTTTCCATATGCTTAATTTACACTAAATTATATTAGTCATTCATAAATGTTTAATCTGTAATAATACATTAATAATAATACATAATACAATAATACACACGATTGTTGATATCACTGTCTGAACAGCCTCTGCTGACATGCTCTTTGAGAACAACTTGTGCACTAGGCCTTTTTCAGATAACATACCTCCAGATGATTTGTATTCACTGTTAAGTTTTTGTTGTAAATGTACATACCTGTTTTTTTAATTGCTGGCCTAAATATAAGGTCAACTGTGGTTTCTAATAAAGGGATAACATCGTGAAAAAAAAAGAATTTTGCTTTTTTTTCCCGTTATGTAAATAAGAGAGGCAAAATTGACCAAGACGCATCGTGTGAACTATTGCTTACATAATGGCCAGTATCTCACTTCTTGCCAAAAGCTCTGGGTTTGCCTAGAATTCAAAATGTCCTATTGAAACTGCTCTAGCTCAAGGGTGTGTTTATGGAAGGTTGTTATGGTGTCTCCATTGTTGTCAGTGAAAATGTGCTTAAACCGGTAAAACCAGACTGTTCACACAGATCCACATAGGTCCACCCACAATGCAAACCTGCTAGGAGATTTAATTTCAACCAAGCCAGAGTTGCAACTGCCAGTTTTTTTTCTGAGCACAGACAGACACAAGAGAGTCAGACAGGAAATCCAATACTGACAGTGACACATGAGCGAACAAGTATTACCATCATCCCATGACACACACAGTGCAAACAATAATATACAAGAATTTGTAAATGCTTTTTTTTGCTAATACTTTCTGTCATGGGTGCCACTGCAGTTTCCATTTTTAGTAATGCCCTGGAACATAAGGCACTCAGTGGTGAATGATTTTCAGTTTAAACAGGAAAACAGACCCAGTGGTAATTGATGTCTCTGATATCTGCAGTTATAACTGGTAATACATTAAAAGTATTTTTTATATGTACACAGCAAGTAACGACTTGGTGAACGTTAAAAAAAAACCCTTTGTTAATGAACACCCTATTTTTTTTTTTAAAGCTTCCTTGTAAGGCGTGATCTGAGAATGTAAGTCGAGACTTGTGAAAAAACAAAGTGGCAGCTTACAACAGCTCCTGGGTAGGTGTACAAAGAAAAAAAAAAGGGCCTGGGGGATTCTGTTTCCCAGCAACCAGCCACAATTCCCACCCCTCCCATTCTGGTGTCCTGTCCACAGGGAGGAGGCAGTACAGGTGAACATCAGCCTGCTCCTCCTCCTCCACTGGGATGCAAAGCCACTCCACAGAGGGAATTTACTGCTTCCTTCTATAGTCACACTGTGTCTGCACATTATTGTACATATGAGTTTGGAGGAGTAAGATAAGGAGAGGATGGCCAATTCAGCGCTGGAGATAGTGGGTCTGATAGTGACCCTGATCGGGTTGATTGGGGCATCAGCAAGTACTGGGATGCCTATGTGGCGAGTCACAGCCTTCATTGGGGAGAACATCATTGTGTTTGAAACCCGCTACGAGGGTCTGTGGATGAATTGCTTTCGGCAGGCCGACATCAGAATGCAGTGTAAGGTGTACGACTCTCTCCTGGCCCTGCCCCCTGATCTGCAGGCAGCACGGGGACTAATGTGCTGCGCTCTGGCGCTGGGGGGCCTCGGTCTGCTGATCAGTTTGGTAGGGCTGCAGTGCACGTCATGTATTGAAAACAACAATCGAGCTAAACGTCTGGTCCTCATCATTGCAGGAAGCATGATCATAATGGCTTGCATCTGCGTCCTTATCCCCGTGTCCTGGACAGGTCATGTCATCATCAGGGACTTCTACAATCCCTTGCTGATTGACGCCCAGCGAAGAGAGCTCGGAGAGGCTCTCTACATCGGCTGGGTGGCCTCTGCTTTCTTGTTCGTTGGAGGATGCATGTTTGTTTGTTGCAATCTGCAGTCCGAGGACAAAGGTTCAGAGAGGTATGTGTACTCAAGACCCTCCGACTATATGGCCTATCCTCCACAGCAGCTACAGCCTCAACAGCTGGTGCTACTTCCCCAACAACAACCCCAGCTACAGCCAGTGCTGTCAAGACACCCATCAACCATCTACAGCTACCAGTCCAGATACCCCTCTGTACGTAGTGGGGTGGCTTATCTCTGAACACTTAAACTGACTGGGGTAAAGATGATCTTGGTTATGGTCACTATACCCAGGGGATTTCTTTTTAATATGGATTTGCTTGGCAGTGCAATCTATGAGACATTTCAAATATCAAAAGATGTATTTCAGGTAAAAGCAAGACCACATTTTGATAAATACATGTACTGAAAATGCCAATGGATCTGATCCATATGGATGTCAGTTTTAAATCACATTTCATAAATTATTTGAGGAGGACTTAATGTTATGTTAAAGAGCACCAGTTACAGAATCTTGACATTTGCCGATATCATAATTATAACCCTGACTATGTAAGCCAAAGCACACTTTTCATTACATTTCTGTGTGTTGTATAATCAAATTTTATACTTCCAGCCTTTTTTTGTATATTAGATTACCAGTTTTCTATGCTGTATACATCAATTCATGCAAGCTTTAATCAATAAGCAATGTTACATACAGGTATGTGTACTTGTGTTTATTGTTTAAATGCTATTTGTTTTTGTTGGCAGATGTAGTTACTGTATACAGACTGTTTATACTAAAAAGATATTTCAACTCATTTTCCCTCAACCTTTGCTATACTTGAGCTGTGCATGCAAATTTACATCCCCCACCCAACTGTCAAAACAGAAATGCATACAAACACATTTGAGAATCACACATCAGTGCACAAATAACATCTCATAGTGGTCCTTATTTTTTTCTGTTCAATTTTCACCAGTTTTAAACCAGTATAAGACACAGGATAAGATGGTTACAGGTAATGTACAACCTTTAGGACAGTAAATGCTTTATTGGTGTCTCTGATAATGTGAGAAATACATAAAATATTTTATATTTGTCTATTTAATCAGAAAACAACTGTAAGTCTTTGTTTAAGTTTAGTGTGATGTCCTGGAGCTGAACCGATGGAACTGAACAAATGGCTGAGTAAACACAAGATGCTGGTTTAAGACTGCTTGTAAAAGGTGGGGACAGCCTAGTGTTTGCGAAGAAGACAAGACAAAGACAACCTGACATCATGTGATCAGAATTTGCATGTCACTTTGAATGTAGAGACTGGGAGCTTTAGACCAAAAGTTTTTCATTTCCAAAGATCCTAGCTCCATAAGTTTCAATTTAAAGAACATTTCTGTCTCTGTTCAGTTAAGTGTTTTTGGTCTTTTAGGTATTAGGTCAATTTATTTCATTTTCAGTGAGTTTAAAAGGAAGTTGCACCTGAACAATCTCCAGTCCTAATGTTTGTGTTGCAATGACAGAAAAAGTACAGTCATTTCATTGATGACTCATGCTGATAGTATTTGTTGATGTAATGACAAGGTTGTTTTTCTCTATTGTTGCTAAAAGTTACATCAAAATGAACGACCTGTTTATCTATGTTAGGTCTTTTAAACAGTACTAGAGTTAAACAAATATGAAATGTTTTAGATTATGATTTACAAACCTGTGTTTCTGGTACTCAACAATCAAGAACTGTGTTTGGACTGTATGATAAGCTCCATCTACATTTCATCACCTTGAAAGTCATTTCTGCTCCCCTGTGGACAACAGAAGTACTGCAGGAATTTATGTGCTGCATTTTATTTGTTTGCTTCTCAATGTTTATCAAGTATAATTATAGAGAATAAAAACATGGCAAGTGATAAAACATTTTTGAAGTTGTGAGCTGTTTTGGGATATTTTGTTGTTGGTGTTTACTGCTGGAAAAAGTGATGGCACAGATATACCACTATAGCCTGTAGAACTGTAAACACAAAATAAGCAGAGGTTCTCTTTACCCCCATCGCCTTGAGCCAACCAACTGACAGCAAAGTATCTTACCCATAACAAACCATCTCTTACAGTACACAAAGCGCGTCAGATGAGAAGATCCTCACTGCCTGGGACACGTCTCTGACTCAGACTCTGAGATGTTGTAAAGCATCAGAATTTGTTGGCGACGCAAGATAACCAATTTGGACATAACTGAACTCTTGAACACTGCACAATGGTTCAAGGTATTTCAGAGATGGCTGCAATGTGTGTTGGCCTCATCGGGCTGATCGGGGCAGCAGCCACTACGGGGATGCCCATGTGGAAGGTGACAGCTTTCATTGGGGAGAACATCATTGTGATGGAAACCCGCTGGGAGGGCTTGTGGATGAATTGCTACAGACAGGCCAACATCAGAATGCAGTGTAAGGTGTACGACTCCCTGCTGTTCCTGCCCCCGGAGTTACAGGCAGCCAGGGGTCTGATGTGCTGTTCTCTGGCCTTGTCGGGGCTGGGGCTCCTCGTGGCTCTGGCAGGAATGCGCTGTACATCCTGTATTCAGGATAATGATCGGGCTAAGACCATCATCCTGATGGTTGCAGGTGGTATGCAGTTCATGGCCTGTATCTGTGTCTTTATCCCTGTGTCCTGGACAGGTCATGTCATCATTAGAGATTTTTACAATCCTTTGCTAATTGATGCCCAGAGGAGGGAGTTGGGAGAGGCTCTCTACATCGGTTGGGTGACCGGCGCCTTCCTTTTCGCCTCAGCCATGTTGTTCCTCTGCCGCCGCATACCCTCGGACAAAGGCTCATTTGACGTGTACCACCAAACCAACTTGCCCAGCAAACCAATTTTAATGAGGTATCATCCCATCCCAAGTCTCTCCAGCCTCCGATCTAATGTATATCATCCTTCTCTGCAGAACAACGGCTCTGTTGGACAACAACTTGCAACACCACTACAAAACATCCCTCAAGTAATGACAAATGATGAAGCACTAATCAACTTTCCTGCTGTCTATAATCCAGGTCTGCCTGAAAATGCATCATTGTTATATCAAGGCAGTATGGCTCACCATTCCTCCATGCTGAGTTCTAACCATGTTGGAAGCGTGTATACACCAGGCAACTCCCTGTACATAAGCCAAAACACCTTGCCACATCCACCAACTTATATCGGCAACCCTACTGCATCCTACCAATCTAGTTTTCATCCGGTTCCACACACTCCTATTTTTATTGGATACAAAGCATCAAGAATCGAACCAGAGTCTCACAGTGGAAGCAGTGGCGGTGTGTACATATAAACAAAAACCATGAGTGAGTTTTTATAGCTGGTATAGCTTTACAGACACAAAGCACTATGCTTTTATAGTATATCGAAAGCTAATTTAGACTGCTATCATTAGGGGAAAGATAAAGGTTAATTGTTTTGTCTGCTTATATTTAGCATTATCCTGATGCACAGACTAAATCGTGTTTTTTTTTTTCTACTAATACACTTTTTATAATTTGTGTCGTGAAAAAAGCAAAATATGGGTCATTTAATCAGGTTGAATCTAACTGCGGTTGTTGTTAATGTAAATAAAAGGTTACATTGTGCTTTAATTAAGTCCTGGTATGGGCTTACTTTCCCAAAAAAGAGAGACTTGTGAGAAATCACCTTTTTGGACTTCATGGCTTTTTGCATATATGTAACCATTTGTTCAATATATTTTTTACATTTTTTGCAGTTATTATTGTACATGTTTCAATGTTTTTTGTTTTTTAATGTCTGTTACTATCAACATGTCTTTGTAACCACTCAAATAAAACCCATAAAGTGCTTAAGTATATAATTAAATAACTTACTCATAGTTATTTGTTAGAGTTTGTATTAGTAATTATTATCAAACAGAAATTTTCAGTGACAAATGCTTAGTAATTTGCAATTGCAGTTTGTAAGTTGCAGCAGTTCAATAAGCAACTCTGGCTTTGTGTGGAGTTTTTATGTTTCCCTCTGGGGTCAGCAGTTTTTCAAAGATAAGCAGTTTTGATAGACTGAGAGGCTGAATTAGCCCTATGATGTACTGGCAGCCCATTAAGAATGATTCCCTGTTTGCTGCTAGGATGGGCTGACTGTGTTACAATTCAGAAATAAACAAGTAAAATGAACAAACTAATGTCACAGATGAAATATGTTGAAAATGAATAAAACATTAATAAATTCTGTATATACTGAACACAAAATCTATTTCTTTACACACTGACATATAGATGAGAGCTATTGAACTATTTGAATATATGGATGAACACAGCAAATACCTTTATGTGTTGTGATTATTGCTTGAAAAAAAATCAATCATATGCTGGGAGTTATGCTGACACCCTGGTGACTTGAACCAATCCTCGACACTGTCATTATTCACCACTAGATGACACCAGAGAACGTTATGACTGTCCTAAACCTTGGGCAGACAGAGCAATCCTCCCTACTTTCAGCACAGGTGTGAGAGGAATAATGCCCTCCTTCCACTGTATTTCATTAACTGAAGCTTTATTTGGAATAACTGCATATTAGGGAACAGTATTCCAAACATTACATCTGGTTTCAGCTACAGGCTGTATATTCAACTAATAAAGATGGTACATTGAGTCCATCATGTTACATTGTATTCTTTAATCTAAATAAAATTGTGGTTCTAATATCAAAATAAGATGGTCATATTCTGTACGCCACTTGATTAGTACAGACTTAAACTTGTACAGCATCTTTTAATAAAATATTTTCACCCTGGAACTTGGAACAGTCAATAAAGGATATTTACTGTGTAAATCAAAAAATATTCCAACTATCAGTTTCTAATTTTGCTAATCCCCCCCCCCCCCCCCCCCCCCCCCCCAAAAAACAAAAAACAAAAAACAAAAACACACCAAACACCACTGATGCTACTGCTTTGCTTGGGGAGCAGAGGTTTGGGGCATCATCACGAGTTGCTGATCGGTGCAACCGAGCAGCCATGAGAACTTTTGAACTTAACCATCCCAAACCTCTCAAGTGGGTAAAGGTAATGTGAACACATTTTATTTTACTATGAGCCTGTGTCTGATAAACAGTTTGAGGTAGTTAATCTTCAAGGGAGCGCCACAGACCAGTTTGAAGATTAGATTTGCATTTCCATCAGGACTGGAGCAAAGATTTAATCATTCCTCGGTGTACCAAAGCAAAGACGTTGTCGAGGTCGAATGTTGCCAGATTTGAAGTTAATCTTCAGGACGTATCCATGTTTGCGGATTAGAGGCTTGGCTGTGCCCTCAATTGAGCGCCTGCACGGGAGGGATGCTCAGCTGTGTCAAGTCAGTCAAAGATAGGAAGAGTGAGGCCGGAAACAAGGCAAGTGTGATTTCACAATAAAAGCAATCAAATGAAGGGTGAATTAGGTATCAGCAGATGCAGAAAATAATTTTCTAAATGTTTAAATATAATAATAACATGACTGAAGCTTTGAAGACTGGGGAAATGGAATCACAAGCAACATGTTTCTGTGAATATGGGAATTAGGTGCATGTAGGGAAAAGTATGGATTATGTAAGATTGTTTACTTAATTAAATAAAAATAAACAAACAGGCACAGCTAATTAAGGGTGAGAATTTAACAATAACAAACATATAACAATATTTATTGGGAAATTATCTGTAAACACTAAAATATACATACACCTACAGCATGATGGTCTGCAGCAAAGTTATGTTATATGTTTGAGATTTTATTTTAATTGTTTAAAAAATACATTGAATGGTTGAAATATATGCAACCTATTCCTCTTTAAACACGTTATTGATTTTCTTTATTGCTTCCACATGGTTTCCATCTAAAGTTTTATTTTGAAAATGATTACAAGAAATGCCAACTTTCATTCATGCAAGCTTGACAGGAGGAGCCCAGCGCACGGTCCTTCTCCTCAGTTGCAATCTACAATTCAAGTGTGCACCAGAAAAAAAACATGATAAGAGGGATGTCTGCACAGTGAATATGGGAAGCAAAACCTTACTGGCGCATAACGGATTTTAGAATGGGAAAGCTGGAGTTATTTTGATCAGTGACAGCTGCAGGTGGAGTCTGTGTTTTTGTTGTTGTTTTTTTTTCTCATCACAATGTGTGAGGGATGGATGTGGGTCGGATTCCAGTTTATTTTCGTTACGGATACAAGGACTGGCAAGTTATCAGCATGAATTACCGAGGGCAGAAAAACTGATATCAATGTTAAATTCGACTCCGAAGAGAGGACCATGGAGAAAGGGAAGGGACTGTTATTTTCACTGCTGTACTTTATAGCAGAGTTTTGGCTCACTTCGCAGCAAGTCCTGAGAATTGGTAAGTGGTAACATGGTCTGATTTTTAAATGTCATTCCTATGTGTTAATATATAGACTGCCACAATACACTCATCATCTTTTTAAATATGCAATCATGTGATTACAAGAACTGGGTTGAATTTCATTTCCCTTTGGGATTAATGACATACTCTACCTTTCTTTATATATGTAAGAAAAAAGACAGAAAAAAGTTTACTTTTTTTGGCATTATCATAATGTATGATGATTTTAATATCCTGTGGTGCCTCAAGCATTGCTTCAACATTATATCTAATAACAGACAGCCAGGATAACAAATGCAGAGATCATACATGTGGATGTCATGCAAGGATAATCATTCATAGCAACCATGCAGCTCAGACGCTGTAGGTAAATTAATGGGAGCAAGAACCTATAACTCCTGGCACTATTAACCAAAACTTTCAATATTAAGCCACAGCCTCTTAGTAGTAGAGTGGATCTTGCAATCAAGTATTGTCCAAAAACCCTAAGGGACATACAGCTGTGTGTCTATGTTATTCAATAGCGATCTTGTATTACTTGTCACTAAAAAAAGAGACTTTTCATGTTGTTGTGATGTTTATACTGCAATTTTCATTGTTAGATTGTTTTTTTTCTTTCTTTATTTCATAAGGGAGGTACATTGAGGACAGAGTGCTGGGTTTGCCACATAAAACAACTCTATTGGTTTTCATCAAAATTATGTTATTTTACTTTGGTTGGCTAATACCAGGGTCTCTGTCTCACTTCCTCTATGTCAGCGCAGGTCAGAGACAGATGAGTGATTAAGTTGGACTACTGCTGCATCTGAAAGCATGTACTGTTGGCATGATGATGTCTTTGGCACTGAGGGATGTGAAATGGATACAGAGCTAAAGAATATACAGTGGGCAGTCTCAGTGAAATTGAGGCCTCTCTTCTACTCAACAAACTCAAAAGTCATTTAGACTTGGTGCATGTGTATGCTGATGGCCAATGACATCTGTGAATGTGGATCTGAGTCCAAAGTTGTCTGTTAAGCCTTTGAGAGTTGACAAGGACTCTGCTTTCACTTGTAATTAGACAAGCAGGGCTCTTGCTCCCACCATCCCCCTTTGATTTCTGATGTAACTTTATAACAATGAGCCAGTGTTTGCTGGCAAATTAATGGTCTCTGCCCCTCTCCTATTGGTTATCCACTATTCCTCTCATGGGTTAGAAGATTGCATCACAAAAATGACATTTTTAATTTAGGCCTAAGGACAATGTCGAGGGCAACTCTGTATTTTTCTAAATTTCTTCTACTTCTAAAGACTTAAACATTCCGAATTGTGCCATTGCATAACTTGGGAGGCTAATAGGCCAGTGCCACCTCCCGTTCTAACAGTCCCGATCTGTGCTATATATTGTTAATCTCTCTAAATCATCTATCACTCTCCGAGGCCACCTAATCTTTGTCATTCTCTTCATGACCCGCACACATCATAATCTCTCCCATATGGTGTGTGGCTTGGTCCAATTAACATTTCTCTGTCTTAGCATGTGCTGGCATCAGATTGTGACTGGCTTTCACTCTTTTCACTGGGGTTGGTAATAATGGTAAATCTTCTCCCTCAAGCCCTTAAACAACTAACACTAATCTTCTTTATGCAGAAAGTCTCTTACCCAAATATGGTACTTAGGCAGCGACCAAATCTCATCATTAGGGATAGCACAGAAGCAGCAGCTTGTGGCTTGGCTTCCACTATATTTTGCTGCTTGTTAAATTCCTATTTCCTCTTGCATTCATGCTTTATTTATTGGTGATATCTGATTTGTTTATTTATGATTTAACCCATTTGATGTGAAAGGTTTGATTATCTACTGTTGGCCATAGGAACATCCTTTGATGCAGTCATCTCCCTGTTTAATAGTCTTACATCCAGTAGTTTTATAAATTAGGTGGATGTGATACTTAGTTATAATCCTGATTTTTATTCTTTCGGTCTAAATGTTTTGGTGTTGGGTCGCAAGCAGCTATCCTATAAACAGAGAAACCTCAGTGTTCCACATCAAACGAAGATAGTAGACTGGTTAGGATCTCCTCATTCATTCACAGTCTGGCACAAGCCCAGGTTGGAGTGGTGCTGGTGGTGTTGTTGAGGTGGGGGTGGGGGGTGGGTTCGGGTGTGTGGGGGGGTCTCACTGGGAACTGGCCCAGGTTGGGGAGAGGGGAGAAAGCAAAACACTACGTCATTGTGTTCCTTTGCCTTAAAAGACTCTCCTTCATGTGATAATTGCACAGAGTCACAAAATCACAGATTAGAATCAGGATCTAAAGATCACCTCCTTAATGCTAACCTCTTGCTTTGGGTTTCTGGATTAAAAAAGGTCCACCCAGCTGCTTAAACCTGAACCCTGATATTTTTCACGCTCTGTGCACTGAAGGGAGGCACAGAAGTCTATAAAAAGCTAAGCCTAAGGGTTTATCAGCATTTGCCTGCAGCATGAGCAGAATCTTTTGTTTTTGTGACCTCCTAGCATGCATCACCCCACAGCATTGTCTGGCCTATTAAAGATGAGATGGAAGCTCAGTGATCCTGAAAATTATATTGGAAAGTAATTAATGGTAGCTATAACAAGAATTTTCATTCCACCTTTCTTTATAAATTGCATTAATCATAAAGCCCTGATTTAAAAAAAGGTGGACTTTGCACCATTACAAGGAGGAAGCTTTTCCTTGCAAAAAAGCTTTACTATGAAGGCATTCATAGAATTTATTTATTTAGGACTGCATATGAATGACTGCATTCTTCTTATACATTGAACAATAAAGTGTCACACGACAAGCTTGCCTTGTGATTACTACTCCTATAGTTTTACCTCTAAACTCAAACTTG